AGCATTAACATGTTAGACTGCACCCCATAAACACAATCAAGCCTAGAAAAAAACCAGTGAACCACCCCTTTAAGAATTGTTTAACTTTATGCAAATTAACAGAGAATTTCGCGAGCGACAACCAATAGGAGTGAAGAATCTGTCAGTGGCGCTCACACGTCACCGTCTCGAGTGCAGGGAAGACAGGACAGATTTCCTGAGCGATTTCACTGTTTTATATGATTTTACTGTAACCACATGCATGGATATAAAAAAACATGATGCGTAGAAAAGAAACTGTTGGCTGTGGAAGTGAGTATGATGCATACATTGATGGTTCGAGTTGTTATTTATATGATGCAGTGAGCAGTTTAGCTCCAGTTAATGATTTAATGCACGGGCACTGCTGTAGTTTATATAACAACATTTTCCAACAGCAGAATGGTACTTTTATTTCCTTTGTCTAATTCCTAGTCATATTAGAATGATATCTTCGTTTTACCGGCAATATATATAGTTTGTGATTGCATTTTATATGTCCAGACTTGCAGTCTACCAATAACATTAGAGCGACAGCAGTAGGAACGCCCACAAGCGTCTTCACAGCACAGAGTCTAGCGACATACAGCGAAAAAGTCGCTGGCAGTGTGAACGGGGCTTTAGGTGAAATTAGGGCTGGACGATATGGCCAAAATTTATATCACGATATATTTCTTAAATTCGGTCGATACGATATAATTCCGATATCGATATGAACACTATTAAAAAAAGCCTCGTAAAAACGACCAAGAATCCCCACAACAGATGTCTGTGCATATAAACTTATGAAAAATGTTTTAAAGTGAAAAAGTTAAGTGACATGTGGCCAAGTATGGTGACCCATACTAGGAATTAGTGCTCTGCATTTATCCCATCCAAAGTGCACACACACAGCAGTGAACACACACACACCGTGAACACACACCTGGAGCAGTGGGCAGTCATTTATGCTGCGGCGCCCGGGGAGCAGTTGGGGGTTCGGTGCCTTGCTCAAGGGCACCTCAGTCGTGGTATTGAAGGTGGAAGAGAGCACTGTACATTCACTCCCCCCACCTACAATCCCTGCCGGTATGAGACTCAAACCCGCAACCTTTGGGTTACAAGTCTGATTCTCTAACCATTAGGCCATGACTTCCCCGAGTTATTTGCCAAGTCTATGACACCTCATATAAAACCATAGATTTTAGAAAAAAAAACAGCACAAATAAATTAATGTTCACCTTTTATTTGTATTTAGCCTTCATACAAACAAGAAATGTGAAATCACTGTCAAATAATAGTCTCAGACTCAATTAATATTAATATTTTTAACTTCAAACTATAGGCTAACCTACACTACCAGTCAAAAGTTTTTGAACAGTAAGATTTTTAATGTTTCTAAAGAATTTTCTTCTGCTCACCAAGCCTGCATTTATTTGATCCAAAATACAGCAAAAACAGTAACATTTTGAAATATTTTTACTATTTCAAATAAATTTTTTCTATTTTAAAATGTTTTAAAATATAATTTATTCCTGTGATTTCAAAGCTATATTTTTAGCATCATTACTCCAGTCACATGATCCTTCAGAAATCATTCTAATATTCTGATTTTTACTTCTCAAAAATCATTTATTATTATGTTGAAAACAGCTGAATAGAATTTTTTCAGGTTTCTTTGATGAATAGAAAGTTCAGAAGAACAGCATTTATCTGAAATATTAAAATTTTGTAACATTATAAATGTCTTTATCATCACTTTTGATCAATTTAAAGCATCCTTGCTAAATAAAAGCATTAATTTCTATAATTTCTTTCCAAAAAAAAAAAAAAAAAGAAATCATACTGACTCCGAGCTTTTGAATGGAATAATGTATAATGTTACAAAAGCTTTTTATTTCAGATAAATGCTGTTCTTTGGATGTTTCTATTCATCAAATAATCCTGAAAAAAATTTACTCGACTATTTTAAATATTGATAATCAGCAAATCGGCATATTAGAATGATTTCTGGATCATGTGACACTGAAGACTAGAGTAATTATGCTAAAAATGCAGCTTTGATCACAGGAATAAATTGCATTTTAAAATATATGCAAATAGAAAGCAGTTATTTTAAATAGTAAAAATATTTCAAAATGTTACTGTTTTTGCTGTACTTTAGATCAAATAAATGCAGTCTTGGTGAGCAGAAGAGAATTCTTCAAAAAAAAAAAAAAACATTAAAAATCTTACTGTTCAAAAACTTTTGACTGGTAGTGTAGGCTGATTATTCTTATAGATTGAAACAAATGTGCTTTAGCCAGTATAAAGAGTATGAAAAGGGCTCTGAGTTGCTGCAGAAAAAAAAAAGAGCAACAACAAAAACGTTGCTGGAGACGGGCTTATTATTGAAAATGCAAACTGATTCTCTGCCAGCAGGAGGCACTTTGAGAGCAGCAGAACTAGCGGTTTCTCCAGTAACGACTGTAATCAAATCGGCTCCGCTCATGAATGCTACTTTATCAGATAAAATGAAAATGCCATCGAAACTTTTCCGAAGACAGTCGTTTCCCTTCAGAGATATTCATATAAAACACCCATGACGTGTTTTGATCTTGAAACGTGCAGTGCTCATGTTCAAGTCAAACGCCACAGATAAATCAATTTATGGGTAACACTGGTAATGTATATCGAAATATTGGAAATGTGTTTAAAAATCATATCACCGTTATTGAAAAAAAATTATATCGCGATACGTATTGATATTAAATTATTGTCCAGCCCTACGTGAAATATGAATAAAGAGGTCCATACATCTGCTTTGAGAAGACAGGCCTGTTAGAAGACAGTTCACAACATTAACAGCTATGCTGAAGTCTACTGATAACAAATTTTAATACTGTTTACAGGAACAGCCACCAGAAGGATAAACTACAGTACATTCCTCCTGAAACCTTAGCAAAGCTATTCAACTGAATAACGACTCTGGAACAGGAACTTTGTAATTTAAATGATTATCTGAACATTTAAGTGTTTATCTATTAAGTTAAATTGCACAGTGCTAATCTCACTTACCTCTACATTTCCAATTATTTCTAATAGCTTAAATAGACAAACAAAAGTCATTATTTAGCAGACTGACTACTATGATACACTGCCCGTATACAAGCAGGATTGGCAACCCCTGAAAAGTTTTATAAAGGATACTCACAGAAGCCATTCTTGACATCGAAAAACTGCTTATATTCCTGGTTATTCCTCCAATGCTAAAGATGTATTTTGGATATGGAAAACTGGCACTCAGCTATTATCAAGAGTGCTCAAGTTGAGATCAGTGATATACTGTAAAATGCAAGTCTAAAATGTTTTAGTCATTGTCATTTAAATGCTTTATGTGGTCCCAATTTCATAAATCAAATGTTTTTCAAACATTAATGAACTTAATAAAATTATTATTTTTATTCAGTATTCACTATAATTGACATACTGTATTCACACACCAACCAAATTCACACACCAACCAAAATTAGTACATGTTCATCATTTGTTGCCTAAAGCATTTCAGACCCAGCCATTACACGGCCTGCTTTCCATAACTCTTTTTTTTAACATCTGTACTCTTGGTCCCTCAATCCAGCAGTGCCGCATGGATACAGGACACACCCTAAAACTCACTCTCTCTCACACGCCACAACCCCAAGAGTTTCACTGACAGGATGCAGAGAGCCCTGCAGTGCGTTTCACCATCCTCCCTGACCTTCATTCATGTCCTTACTGCAGAATTACTTGGCCACACCCTTCTCACAGCCTGTGAATCCTTGATTGCAAGCATGTTGAAACTGGCAGGTGATTCCTGCCAATTAGAACAGATAAGATAGAACAGAGCAGATCTTCAATGGACATCACATTAACAGACTTTTTAGACAAACATACATCACTCACTCAATAAATTAGCAGATCAGTTCCAATCTGACTGGGTGAAGTGATGCAGAAATTCTTTTGATCTATTACAAAGTCTAGGTACATTATTCTCTATTTTTCAGTGTTTTTTTGCACAACCATTTGCATAACCATAATTAATCTTTTTTTCCACTGAAATCTGATATTGTGGCATCTTACATAAACCATCCTGATTTTATTTATTAATATTTCAAGATAAAAAAATGAAATTGTGATTGGTTGATTCAGACAATCTTGTGCAATCTGCAATTGTGTTTACCAGAATTTCAAAATTCAAACATCACGCATAATGCCACTGCTGTTTTGCATAATACCAGAAATGTACTGCTTATTTGCATACACCTTAGTAACACTGCATTTAAAAAAAGTAAACATATCATTATAAAAATGAAAGCATTTTATTTAATCTTAAAATCATGTTGTCATCACAACTGACACAGATTACAAACTATCACAGTTTTTGAAAGCTAGTTTTCAGATCAAAAAAAGAACAAAATCAGAAAATTATAACACCTACGGAAAAACAAAACATAAATCAAGAACTATAAAAAAAATACAAAATTTTGAAGAAAAAAAAATCAATTAACCTCCATTTTTAATCTCCAAGTACCATTTCAAAACATAATTTAAACACCTTTTCCTTTACACAAAATCAAGCAGACAAATGAATTTGAAACAGTTTTCTTTTAAATAGAAGACATGTAATCATTTTGCCATGCAGTGGATGTAACATTAAATATTAATTAAAAAATATATAATTTTTTATATTGTATCCAGATCACATAGATAATATATAGATATTTTATATTCAAGTCAAAACACTCACCCTCCCTTTATAGGGAAACAAGCTCAATTAAAACATTTACCACAAATATAATCTAACAATGCTGTCATAGCTGCCATCAGTAGCATGGCTGTCTTTCAGGAACATTAAAAACAAGGGATTTCAGCAAAACCATTTTGGCACAGAAAACCACAAATAATGCCAGCAGCATCTGCTTTGTAAAAAGACAAGGAAAGATTTGAGAAGCTTTTGTCTGATTTTTTTTCTGGTTTAATAAAAAAAAGAAAGGAAAGGAAAAACATTCTGTGCATCGCTTTAGTCCAGGAGAGAGAGTGTATGTGCATCTCCTGAGCAATTGCTTGAGGCCAGTGGTGTGTGTGTCCCAGAGTTTAGTTGCTACTGCAGCATGCTTTTAATGGTCTTAGTGGTTGACTCATCATTAAGATGTTTTGTTGTGTACCTGCACAGAAGACATTAAGTAATAATTATATTTACCGGAGTATTTTGCAGTATCATGTCAAGCTTTCTTTAGCACTGTTGCAAAAAAAACATTCAGTGCTAAAAAAAAAAAGAAAAAGAAAAGAATCTTTGCATATGTCATGGAATATTCATCACATTAAACCACTAAAGAAAATATGAGGAACAAAATCTAAATGTGTCTTCATGGACAAGTGCAGTTGACTGATATGATATTAATATGGTAAGATTTTATATAATAATATTCACGAAAAAAAAAAATATATAATTTTTTTTTAATTTAAATGGATTAATTTTAATTATAAAAAATACCATTTAAGATGATTAAAAAAAAAAAAAAAAAGAATAACTAGCAGGATTGACAAAGTTAATTTTGGAAAATACCAACTGATTCGTATTTAAAACACTGTAAAATAACGAGATTTACTGTATGAGACTCTAAATGTTGGCTTGTTGAATAAGGTACCTGAGAGCATTTAGAAGACCTTCCACACTGTTTGGTGGCTGATCTCTGAGCACTTTAATGCAGCCTTTCATCTGTTTGGGGAAAAAAGCAACCATGGTTAGAGTGGCAAAGTAATGACAGCACTCAAATTCATGAGTCATGATGCTGTGAGAGAGCCATCACCATGTTTTCTAAGCACTATGATTATAAGTCAGTGGGGGGAGGGGAAAAAACTTCAGAGATGGGTTTGCAGTAACGGGAGATGATAGTTTCACTCACGTCTATTTTGGAGGACTTCGCGAATGCGCCGACGGGATGGACGTAGTCGTAGAGGATGATAACCCCCACCATGACACGCAGACAGAAGGAAACAGTCTCCTCACTGCTGAAGCGGCTGCGATACTCTCTGTATACAAACAAAATTACAGAATAAGAAAGTTTTTTTTTTACATTTTTTGTTTTATATTTGCCTACCAATTTCTAGTACATTGTTCTTGTTTAATACACCGCAAATTTTATGGTGTCATCAGACAGATGAGAAAATGGCAGACTTACGGGGTTTCCAACATAACTTTGCACACGCTCGCCATGGTGCTTAATACATCTGTTGTGTTTTCAATGGGCAAGTTTTTATTCTGTTGGGCAAAAGCGAAATTTTTTTTATTTATTTATGTTATTTATGAAAATGTCACTGAGAACTGATTTGAAAGGTTTTTATTTACCTCAGATACAAATTTTGTTGTGCCATCACTTAATGCCTTTAGCATGGGTGTGGCATCAGCATAAAATAGAGATATCCGATTGGCCAGCTCATTATTCACCTCGTTTTCTCCCTCTGCCTACAGGGACAGACACCAAAAACATTCTGAATGAAGTAAAGCAAGGAGAACATAGATTCTTCTTTCCGAACAGTTTCTCAGAACTTATCACAGTCAATGCCTCATGAAAATGATTAATAGAAGACCATAAAGAGAACAATATGAAGATTCATAAGCATTGAAAGTTTTTTTTCCCAATTTTCCCCAATTTCTCAGGTGAAAAATCAGTCAAAAATGCTATACATCATTAATGTACTAAATATTAAAAAATTAATCCTTCAGAAATGGATGGTTGTTACTCAACACTTCTGCTTAAATGAGAAGGGATTGTATGTCACTTAATCTTTGAGTTTGCAAAGCTAGCATCATTTGAGTAACAATGGAATATCCCGTAATACAGTCATTTTGGTTGACAGGTAAATGGGAGAAACAGCGAACTGGACAAGGATGGGAAAAGTAAAGACATCCCCAGACAAGGAAATTAAGCTTTAGTTCTTTCGCAAAATATGCAATGAATAATTAAAAATCTTTTCAGTGAAATTAAATCTGACTTAATTTACTTACAGTATTCTACTGAATAAAAAGGGTTACTTGAAAACATATTTCAAGCAAGCAAAAACATCAGCTTTAAAATGAGGACAGGCAGACAATTACAAATGTGTTTTTATTTATCCGATTGGCCAGCTCATTATTCACCTCATTTTCTCCCTCTGCCTACAGGGACAGACACCAAAAACATTCTGAATGAAGTAAAGCAAGGAGAACATAGATTCTTCTTTCTGAACAGTTTCTCAGAACTTATCACAGTCAATGCCTCATGAAAATGATTAATAGAAGACCATAAAGAGAACAATATGAAGATTCATAAGCATTGAAAGTTTTTTTTCCCAATTTTCCCCAATTTCTCAGGTGAAAAATCAGTCAAAAATGCTATACATCATTAATGTACTAAATATTAAAAAATTAATCCTTCAGAAATGGATGGTTGTTACTCAACACTTCTGCTTAAATGAGAAGGGATTGTATGTCACTTAATCTTTGAGTTTGCAAAGCTAGCATCATTTGAGTAACAATGGAATATCCCGTAATACAGTCATTTTGGTTGACAGGTAAATGGGAGAAACAGCGAACTGGACAAGGATGGGAAAAGTAAAGACATCCCCAGACAAGGAAATTAAGCTTTAGTTCTTTCGCAAAATATGCAATGAATAATTAAAAATCTTTTCAGTGAAATTAAATCTGACTTAATTTACTTACAGTATTCTACTGAATAAAAAGGGTTACTTGAAAACATATTTCAAGCAAGCAAAAACATCAGCTTTAAAATGAGGACAGGCAGACAATTACAAATGTGTTTTTATTTAATAAGAAAGCGGTTTAATCTTTCAGTAAACTGCATACACCTGCACATAAAAATACATTCATACATTAAGCAATAGTCTAAACTATTAGTGCAGATGTGGAGAGTGCTAGCTGGAGTGATTTATTTAGCTCTCGTACAGGAGTAGGGCCCTAGGGAGCCATGGTGGGGCTACTGAATTCAGTCTGGGAGAATATGAGGGGAAAACCAGCGCCACTTCACTAAACAAGGTAGGCAGACTGCATGGTGTCCCCCAGGGCTAAGTATGTGGCCCGCTCTCAGATCAGATATTTAGCTCTAGGAGGGCAGGACATCTCTGGGGAGGACAGGCACAAAAGCTGACAACAGATCAGGTGCCAAACTATATTGGTGCACCTCATTGCACTTCAGTGAGCATCTCAGAACTCACTCGCTCTCCCAGTGGGAGGCCATTTTCTGTTTGGGTCCTCAATAGTCCCCTGAGGGTTGGTATGTGCAAGTGGCTGAGTGCTTAAGTATGTGAGTGAGAAAAAAAAGGAAGTGTGTTAGTTATGTGAAAGGGGTTTAGATCAAATCGAGAGCTGCTTGTCAAAGGCGTATTTTTACTTTTAAATTTAAAAAACATGTGTAGATAAAATAAGTGAGGACAGAAGTGTAATACACAGAAAGGTGAATAGAAAGAGAGAAAGGGGGAGGTTGGGAAAGTCATAGCAATATAAAGGTGACAGTTTCAATTCTTGAGAAAACTCACAGGAACATTATTGATCCTCATGCGGCTCAGGGTCCTCCTGTAATAACTGAAGTCATTCTGAATGGCAGGATTTGTCATCTGCAAAAGAATGAAAACACATGTCTTTAGTCAGTTGATCTACACTACCATTCAAAAGTTTGGGGTCAGAAAGACTTCCTTTAAAAAAAAAAAAAGACACATTAAATAGATCAAAAGTGAAAGTAATTTATTATTTATTATTACAAAAGATTCTATTTCAAATAAATGTTGTTCTTTTGAACCTTCTATCAAAGAATACTGACTGAAAGAAAAAAATGGTTTCCACAAAATATTAAGCAACATAACTGTTTTCAACATTGATAATAATAAGAAATGTTTCTTGAGCACCAAATCAGCATATTAGAATGATTTCTGAAGGATCATGTGACACTGAAGACTGGAGTAATGGCTGCAGTCTTCTTTTAAATATTTTCAATCTCTCCTTTACAATCCTTGCTTGTGGGTGATTGCCAGACCATTGCTATGCAGTTGTTAAAATGTTCATATTGGTTTTTAGATGTATAATTGCAAGGGCATTGTCATGTTGCTATACTGTCCTATACTGTTACTAGCCACCAAGTCTCTTTTAGGTCTCTAAATGTGGTTACATTTAAATCTATGGGATTATTTTCATCTGTTTTATCATCTGCCAGGTGGAAATCCTAAATCTGATCCCTTAGAAAAGTAATAGCACACCTCTCAAAGTTACATAACGAAGTTTAATACTCAGAGTTATGGGTTTTTAAACAACCCGTAACTCTAAGTATGAACAATAGTAATAGTGATGCTTGCCTTAACAAGAACCATTAATAAAATTAAATTGTGTATGCAAAGGTGTTTCAAAGGGAGGCAAATCTCCAGGTAATTGCTGGTGTGACAGGACTGAAGTAGTCAAATACAGTCTGGTAGCCTAGAAGGCGAAGAACACTTACAGGATTAGCTAAAGCTTTACGTAAATGACTACCAGTTTCTTTAGGTAATCAAAGCAATCTTTATCTGCCAGGACTGAGACTGTCTGGGACCCATGAATCCCCTATAGACGTACTGTTTAAACCTAAAGCGCACCACAAAAGATTTGTAGCTTGTGACAGATGGATAAATATACTCTAATGAAGAATCATGTTCAATTTAGGGTTCAATGACAAATTCAGTGACAAAGGAGGGGGCACTCGTCAAGATGGCAGCAGAGACGGGTTAGAGGACAAAGGTCAGGGAGAAGAATGAACTCTTTAGGATTTGCAAGAGCAGAGGTCAACTATAATTATCCCAAATGTTCAGTGAATTCTGAACAAGGATAGTGATTATTAATTCTGTAAAGTCTGAAATATGAAATAACAGTCAGAAAAATCTCATGTATTTGAAATGTAACAGTTTATTGAACCTTTAGACATATATCCTTATATATTTTGTTGAGTATCAAGATTGTGTATAACAGGTTTTTCAGCAAAGTTTTGATAATTTAGAGGCCTTAGAAATTAATGCATCAAATTATCCAGTAGGCTTTATAGGATTAATGATGGTTACGTGGATAACTCTCAGAAAGAAGAAATCAAAACAATATCCTCAAATGACATCCTTGTCAACAAAACTAATGCAGTGCTGGTATTCAGTCGATTTACTGTCAGACTAGAGAGCCCATCCTATCCCTGCAGTGTACGTTGCTACGGCATTGGCGGGCTGAAGTAGGTCACTGCGCCAAGCTGAGAGGAGGGCATGGTTGGATGGAGGTTGGCATGCCACCTTACACCCCCTACCTTCTCACATTTAGCAACCCCATCTGGGGGGCTCTTTAATTGGGGCATCCTAGCTCCATGCCCGCAGGGCGTCAGGGTGTATGTGAATGTTTATGAAGAGCAGGACAGAAAGGCGCTAGTGTTGGTGCTGAGATGAATAAGAAAACGGCTAGACGAAACATTATTTGATTTCTTTGGACACATAACCCGAGACAAATGAGGTGGTTTACTGTTCAGTCATTTAGGGTTGTTTGAGTGTCTGAGGTTCTGACATGGTCAGAGGAGTGTGTAAAAAAGCACACTATAGCTCAGCATGCTGCTGTCTTGACATATACACTTTTAAGTGTCCGTTCTGCATTATTAATTTGATGTAAAAGAAACAGCAGCTGTTTAAGCAGAGAATAAGAGAATGAGGAGAGCGACAGCTCAAAAGCAAATTTTCTTGTGATCTTAAGTGTCGAGAAAGGTTTGGCAAGCACCTGGGCCAGTGAAAACTGACACGTGCAATTGAAAAGTAATTATTTTCTCATTAGCTGGTTTCTAATCACGATTAGCATGTCATTAGAAAGAAGTGGAAGCTTGTTAAGGCATCACATCCTGGTCAGTCTCATCAATCGCATGGTAATGTGTAATAGCAGGCTGCATGTTAAAATTCTGCTGACTTACAGTAAATGGCAAGCTCATCTTTTAACCATGCATTTCATTTGACTACAGAACATTAATGAATAACTTCTACTCACAGACCTCATATTTTACATAAAGAAAATGAAGCATGTTTTAGGTCCGTTAAATTTGATAATTAAACATTATTATGTATATTATTTTCATAACAATTAGGAATATTTTCCATAATTTTTTCCCTAAATTTTGATTACAGTGCTACATCCGGATGTTTAAATTTTATTTATTTTTTATTTTTTTCATAATTACTAATATTCTCATTAGTGATTCTCATTAAATTCTCAATAATGTAATTTTTTTAAGCCATCATAAATTAAAGTCAATATAATACTACCAATATGCATTAATATTTTCTTTTCTTTTCATATTTTTTTATTATGGTAATAATAATTCAGAGGGCTGGAAAGTTCTTAACAATATTTGTAATAAATACAAAAAATGTTAATGATTCAACAACAAGGCTTCATTTTATTTAAATAGAAATATCATTTTTATTTCTTATTATAAGACTCAAACATGTTCATGAGAGGTTTCATGAGATCCAAACCAATGACTTTTGACCTGTATTGTGTCAGCCCTAGCATTAGTACACATCCAATGCTAAATAAACAAGAATTTTAAATGCAAATTAATTCATCGACTGACTCAGGATAAACAGGATAAACCTGTATCATGTATAATGGTCTTTCATTTATGCAATGGCTGCAACCAATATATAAAAATAAATAATGATAACAAAAACCATTATCATCACATAACAAAGGAATTTTTATTGAGGTATAATATTGAGGAATGGTCCTCACCTTGAGCTCATCAAAGCGCAGTGTGAAGTGCAGGATCTCAGCAAACTGTTTGGCGAGGGCTTGCTCTCTCTCCAGATGCTGTGTAGGGTCATCGTATGTCTCACTAGTGAGTGCTCTCAATAGACTATGCAGCGCTGATTCTGTAGAGTCACACAATGGTCAGTTAGGGTCAATTAGGTTCTCATTGAGTGCAACACATTTTTTTATAATAATATATTTTTTTTTTTTACCAATTATAAACATCCACCCACTGATGAGTTAACTATATCTCATTATAACCAGGTAACTATAACTCATTAATGGATGGTTGTTTTTCAACTAAATGTTGCATAAAACAGCCCACATATATTGTTTTAAACAATATACTGTTTAGATGCCGACATGTTGATTCATACTGCCCGCAGACCAGGGGGCTGTTTCATAAAAGACGCTAAGAAAACCGGGGATTAAAGTCCAAAACCTGACTTGAAATAACCTAACAAATCAATCAGGACTAAAGTGGTTTCATAAACGACAATTTAAATTTACGCAATCTCACTAATTCGATCCAGATTCAACGAGTCAGGATAATTGCACGCTTATTCTTAAGCAGCCCTTAATGTCGATCATGGATCAAATCAATCCACCATCGCAAACAGCGAATATTTGTGCTGTTTAATGCATTTGAGACGCTGTGTTTTCCTCAGTGCATAACTGACACCTCACAGGTATATTTTCCATCTGTAAATGTTAGAAAGTCATGCAAATATAATATATCCATTTTGCTGTCAGGAGTAGGCGAGGCTTCGTGAGTGAACGAGCGCTGCTGCGCACATGCGTGCTACACATATGGAACGCAATAGAATAATAGCTCAATAATTCTGAATAAAATATGCATTCGGCTAAAATATTTGTTGTTGGACATTAAATGTGACATGTAGAATTTTAATCCTACATATAAGTGTATTTTTATCATAGCAGTAACTGTAAATCAAATGTAAGCTGGCTAATACAGCCCTACTATCTCAAATGAGTTAAATGTGTGTTCCTCTTATCAGTTAAAATGTAGTCTAATTTCTATTATTTATTTTCATTTTTAATTCAGTGGTTTTAACTTTTAATTTAGTGTTTTAAATGCTTTAATGAGCAATTTTAGATTGTAATGTTTTAATGTTCTACTAATAACCATAAAAGGTACAGCTGTCATAAAACCCGAGAGAAAGGCTGCACGGCTAGAAACTGCTGATCAACTGAATGTGCAAGTAGCAACTATGTTAAAATGTTTTCATATATCTTAAAAAAAAAGGTCATTACATTTTGGGCACAATACATTAAAGGTCCTCACCTTGAGCTCATCAAAGCGCAGTGTGAAGTGCAGGATCTCAGCAAACTGTTTGGCGAGGGCTTGCTCTCTCTCCAGATGCTGTGTAGGGTCATCGTATGTCTCACTAGTGAGTGCTCTCAATAGACTATGCAGCGCTGATTCTGTAGAGTCACACAATGGTCAGTTAGGGTCAATTAGGTTCTCATTGAGTGCAACACATTTTTTTATAATAATATATTTTTTTTTTTTACCAATTATAAACATCCACCCACTGATGAGTTAACTATATCTCATTATAACCAGGTAACTATAACTCATTAATGGATGGTTGTTTTTCAACTAAATGTTGCATAAAACAGCCCACATATATTGTTTTAAACAATATACTGTTTAGATGCCGACATGTTGATTCATACTGCCCGCAGACCAGGGGGCTGTTTCATAAAAGACGCTAAGAAAACCGGGGATTAAAGTCCAAAACCTGACTTGAAATAACCTAACAAATCAATCAGGACTAAAGTGGTTTCATAAACGACAATTTAAATTTACGCAATCTCACTAATTCGATCCAGATTCAACGAGTCAGGATAATTGCACGCTTATTCTTAAGCAGCCCTTAATGTCGATCATGGATCAAATCAATCCACCATCGCAAACAGCGAATATTTGTGCTGTTTAATGCATTTGAGACGCTGTGTTTTCCTCAGTGCATAACTGACACCTCACAGGTATATTTTCCATCTGTAAATGTTAGAAAGTCATGCAAATATAATATATCCATTTTGCTGTCAGGAGTAGGCGAGGCTTCGTGAGTGAACGAGCGCTGCTGCGCACATGCGTGCTACACATATGGAACGCAATAGAATAATAGCTCAATAATTCTGAATAAAATATGCATTCGGCTAAAATATTTGTTGTTGGACATTAAATGTGACATGTAGAATTTTAATCCTACATATAAGTGTATTTTTATCATAGCAGTAACTGTAAATCAAATGTAAGCTGGCTAATACAGCCCTACTATCTCAAATGAGTTAAATGTGTGTTCCTCTTATCAGTTAAAATGTAGTCTAATTTCTATTATTTATTTTCATTTTTTAATCAGTGGTTTTAACTTTTAATTTAGTGTTTTTAATGCTTTAATGCTTTAAAGAGCAATTTTATATTGTAATGTTTTAATGTTCTACTAATAACCATGGCTAGAAACTGCTGATCAACTGAATGTGCAAGTAGCAACTATGTTAAAATGTTTTCATATATCTTAAAAAAAAAGGTCATTACATTTTGGGCACAATACATTAAATACAGTTGGTTGTAGCCTGTCTTTTATTTATTTGATTATTTAAGTTGCATTATGTTTTTATTTTTGGACTAATAATAATGTCAACTAATTGTATGTGAGAGAGTCTGTGGTAATAAAAATGCGTTCCTATTGGTCAGTGTTAGAGGAGCTCAGCTTAGCCTGACAGTTAGCCTGCTCCAGACCAGGTTAGTTTCCCAGCATAGAAATAAGCCTGGCTTATTTGGACACAAAAATCAACTCTTACATAAGGCCTAATCTGAAGTTTCTCGATGTTCTTTACTAACACACAGTGATGTTTTAAGCCTCAGTAGACAGCTCGATGACTTGAGAGGCTGTTCTTAACCCACAATTCCCATTCTCATTCTCTCCATTGCTCTGTTGTTGCAATATTGTACACAGCAGCATGTTAGAGTAATTATATTACATAAGAGTCAGCCCAGCAGCCATAAATCAGTTTATGGTTGAGGTACGGTTGAGGTATGATCTCAGTCTGGCCGCATCAACCCAATTTTTAATCCTGATCTTAAATAAGTCTTAAAATATACATATAAACAAAACCAAACAGAGTTGCCTTTGAAGTGATTCATGTTTCGCTGTTGCTAGTATTACAAAATTGTACAAGAAACTCCTACTGCAATTTATTGTTGAAAGAGAGCAATGGAAAGAAAAAAAAGCGATGGTTGGGTGATGTAGCTTTAGATCCATGTATCAACAACAGTTGATGAACTGAATTAAGTCTGCTCTGAGAGATCAGACAATTTTGGGTTTTTTCAGCTTTGTTTTTATTGGCTCATTTGGAAATTGCAGTAATCAATCCCGTCTGAAGGTAAACAGAGAGTAGCTTTGTCTGTTAACTTATTTATTCCCATATGGACTTGAGAAACCAAGAGTTTTTAAGTTTTTCATAGTCAAGCCAATATAGCCATACAGGCTGCTCTCCACATCGGAGTGAGAGAGAGAAAGAGAGAAGGAATTTTCAGGCTGGTGACTCAAGCTGCAGCAGTATGTAGAGTAAATTGAGCAGATTTGCCATACGGTAATGACCTCCATCTGCTTTAGTCAGCTTGGCAGGGCAGAGGAGCTGATTAAAAATGGCCATGGAAGCACACTATTCTCCTCCCAGTCAAAACAGAGCTTGAGATGAGCGGCTTTTAAGGGCACATGCTGAGAATGGAGTGTAAGGTGAGGATGGCAGATCAGAGGAAAGCAGGGCAGGGAGAGGGACTGTACCGTCACATCTCATCACATAACGAGAAAGCAAGAGAGAACAACTAAGATATGCAAGTAATGTTAAAATGTATACACTGAGGAATAGTGATAATAATAGTTTGAGATGAACCAGTAAAACAAAACTACACAAACAAACAACCACCAAAAATAAATAAATAAAAACAAAAAATTTGATTTGGTAAAATAATGTGCAGTGTAATATATATATATATATATATATATATATATATATATAGATTATCTCGGCAAAGGAGAAGTGCTCACTAACACAGATTTAGACAGATTTGTGAACAATATTTGAGAGAAATAGGCCTTTTGTGTACATAGAAAAAGTCTTAGATCTTTGAGTTCAGCTCATGAAAAATGGGAGCAAAGGCAAAAGTGTTGCGTTTATAATTTTGTTCAGTATATATATATATATTTATGCAGGATGACAAGCAATGGTATGACCAAACTACATTCAAAAATGTATAATTTAAATAAATAAATAATAGAAGTATTAAATGAAAATAAAATTGTAATTATTAATGGACTTATCTCTTTAATATGATTTTATTGTGAATCAATCACGAAACCTGACACTCTGCTCTGCAAGTCTGTCCTTGTCTGGAGACTCGGACAGACTCGTCAGAATGCAGCAGCAATCTTTCAAGCTGCTAATACAATTATAACACCACTGACAACCAAAGGTTCAAACTTTGAGTTAATATGCACAGACGAGAGCACTACATGCCAAGTGATCAGGGTAGTTAAGCGAAGCATGTCAAGCATGAGGGCTTGCGCCAAAAGCCGGTTTAGTGTTCTGGAGTGGAAAGCGCGGGAAAGCAAGATGACCCAGTTCGGCGAGTTACGTAACATATGGCAGACGCCTGGCCTGCACTCATTGACTACAAGTTCAGAAGCCATTACATGGATTTAAAGTGCAGGGTATCAAGGGCTACAGGGCAAGACCACCACAAACCTTGGTCTTATTGAGTTGCTAACATTCCTGTATTTTGATGGGCAAAACAGCTAATGCTATGGAAGCCATATGATCTGAAGTATTAGATACCATGGCCATTTTTCTCTATGCATATCTGTGAGAGGTTTGTAACATTTATGGCAGGGGTCCCCAAACTATGGCCCTCGGGCCGGATACAGCCCACGCTCACATTTGGACCGGCCCTCTGAAAAATGCCAAAGACATATTTTTACTCATATCTGTATTTGATAATAAAGGTTGGCTTTCAGACTAAAATTTCCCTTAGTTATTAACATAGCCTAATTATTTGTTAGATTCATCCACCAACAGAATGGTACATTCAACAAAACATTCCATCGTGATCAAGCAGGTGCTACTGCATGTGAGCCAGCAAGAAAATTCAAACAGACAACAAAATGGCCAAACGGTTTGAAAAGAGAAAAGTTGTTTTAAAAGTTAATTTTTCTTCGTGGAGTTGGCTCAAACTTTGAAGTGTCCGAGGAGCTGGTAGCCCTACAAAGTCTCAAAGGTACTATGACAGGGGAGGATTTATTTTATTTTTGGTAAAGTGTGCCAAAAAATAGGAGAGTTAGATCTAGACTGGTCTAAGCTGGCCAGCATCACGACTGACGGGGCTCCTAGTATGGTTGGCGCGTCGAGGGGGCTTATAGGATGCAGGAAATGGAGGAAAGAGGTCTCACCCCCCTATTACAAGTCCACTGCCTGATTCACCAGCAAGCACTCTGCTGCAAAGTTCTGAAGTGGGAATTGGTCATGAAGGTTGTGGTGTCATGTATAAACTTCATCAGAGCAAATGGACTTAAAACACAGGCAGTTCCAAGCCTTTCTCTCTGAGCTAGAGTCTGCTCATGGAGATGCGCTTTACCACACAGAACTCCGATGGTTAAGCCAGGGCAGAGTTTTGAGGCATTTTTACGAGCTGCTACCCGAAATATACACCTTTCTTCTGACAAAGGGCAAACTGTCCCAGAACTGATTGATGCAGAATGGAAATGGGACCTCGCCTTTTTAGCAGATGTGACAGAAATATTGAACGGCCTCAACTTGCAGCTCCAAGGCAAGGGGAAGCTAATATGTGACATGTATTCCCACATAAAAGCATTTGAGGTGAAACTAGCACTGCTTGTGGGACAAGTGCAAAAGCAAGACTTCACCCATCTCCCCGTTACCCAAAGCCTCTCAGCTGAGAATCCAGTGGCCCCATTCCCAGCTGAAAAGTCAGTGGAAGCGCTGGAAATGCTAAAGGTGGATTTTGATGTCCACGCTAAAGAAATCTGCCTTTTCCAGAACCCCTTTGCTGCCGACATTGACGAAGTCCTGCCTTCTTATCGGTTTGAGCTGGCTGAGTTACAGAACTGTGATGTTCTGAAAGATGTGTTTAATTCATTGAATTCTATGCTGCCCTCCCTAACGAGACATAACCAAACATCAAAAGGCATGCAATGAAGATGTCCACACTTTTTGGCAGGACGTATATCTGTGAGCAAACCTTTTCATGCATCAAACTGATGAAAACTCAGATGAGATCAAGACTCACTGATGAACAATTGCATCAGTCTTTGAGACTGGCTGTGACAGGAATGGAACCTGACATTGGACTTCTCAGCAGCCAGAAGCAAGCCCACAGTTCACAGTGATTAATATGCACAAGTAAGTAAATGTTTTGATTTCAATAGAAATTAATATATAAAAAATGTCATTATGATAGTAATAACGCTCTTTTAATAGGCTATATGTCTCTTGAAAAGTAATGCTCATTTGTCTGTATGATGCATAACAAAATAATAAACTAATCTAACATTAGGAGGCATAATAATTACATTTAAAATCATCATAAAATCTCCACAATAATACTGGTAGTCACTCCGGCCCATGTAATTTTCTGTTACAGACCGATCCGGCCCCCCATTAAAGAAAGGACAAATTATGTGGCCCTCACAGAAAAAAGTTTGGGGACCCCTGATTTATGGCATTTAAGCCTATCCGTCAGCTAGTGTGTTACCCCAAGCATTGTGTTTTGTGTGAAAGGATTTTGGTCATTGATCATTCAGGTTTGGAATGACATCAAGGTAAATAAATGATGCCAAAATGTTAATGTAGAAGGTTTCTGCATAACTACTTCTGTTATGAAAAACAGGCTAATGTACCTAATCTCTGTGAAAATTCGTAGAACTTCTTTAGTTTGCCTACTAGTGGCACCACAGCAGCCCACGCCTGGTCTTGTAATGCCTCGTCATTAGGGTTCTGGATTGCCTGAAAAAACAAACACAGCATCTTAATAATACAACATCTGGCGAGTTATAAACAACGTTCCCACAAGTCTAAATGGAACATATTATTTTATGACCGTATGAGGTTGTGTTAGAATTATCTATGTGAGATGAGGTTTTTAAATGATGTGCTCATGAGGGTGGCAATTTGAGGATGTAAATGATGTCAAATCCCAGCACACAAGAGGTTTGAAGGTTTTTTCATTATGTTTTTCCATTATGACACTGGGCAGAGCATCTAGTCATTGTTTTTTCTCTCTACCTCAGTGTGCTTTTGAATTTCCAAATACATGAGGCTCATTAAAATAATTACTGAGCGAGCTGACATAAAAAAAGGAATACGCCGCGTTCTGTTGAGTGAATTAGAAAAAAGAAATAAAAGAAACATTCACTTTCATTCTGCAGAAGACGCCAGTCCATGGCAACTGTGTCTGTATAGCAACAGTATCCGTGGCAACAAGAGTATCAATCACACTGACACTCACTCATACCGAGGCGTGACTGAGCAGAGCAGAGAATTTCGAATCATACAAACATACTGTGAGATGTTTTAAAGCCACCGATATTATTCCTTTAACTATTTTTTTGTGTGAATTTATGTGCATACTGTAAAGAGACAATTTTGCATGAACAACTTTATAAGTACATACGTATAAGTCAAACATCAGCAGATCTCTGTTATATTGAGAGTGTGCCTATACCTCTCGTATCTCTTGGCCCGCGCCTTTATATGCTTGTAGTTCGTCAAGTATTCCCAGTGCATCCTTCAGGACCACATCCACTTCTTCCCACGTTGAGAGAGAGAGAGAGAGAGAGAAAGGGAATAAATGGAGTAGATTTCAAGGTCTTTAATCAAAAGGTCTTTCAAGGGCACATTTAGTCAGTGTCTGACACATTAAAAGTGAATATGCAACTCATGAAACAGAAATCAGAGCTTTATAGAGAATGAGGCAAGATTAAAATGAAGGAAATAACAAAGAAAGAGTATTTGGTGACACGTTGCACAATATATTTAACCCTCTGCATGTGCTGATACTATGGGCAAATTCCACTATTACTATAGAATAGTGAGTACACTGAAGAAAGGGTATTACTGTAAAAGTACTCTTTTGAACTTTCCATTCATCTAAGAAAAAAAAATGTATCATGGTTTCCACAAAAATATTAAGCAGCACAATTGTTTTCAACATTCATAATAACAGGAAATGTTTCTTGAGCCCCAAATAAGCATATTAGAATGATTTCTGAAGGATCATGTGATACTGAAGACTGTAGTAATGACTACTGAAAATTCAGCTATGCCATCTTAGAAATTACATATTAAATTATAATAAAACAGAAAACAGTTATTTCAATTTGTTCTGTTATATTATTTCACAATATTACTTATTATTTATACAACATTACTTAATTATTTTTTGATCAAATAAATGTAGCCTTGATGAGAATAAGATAATTCTTTTAAAAACATTTAAAAATACCAACACCAAAATAAACATCTCTTCCATTTAATTTTGTTCTAAATGTAACCTTAATAACATTGCCGTAAAAGTCATATTTATGGCTAATTGCTGGGGCAATTAAATGTTTGTGTTAAATATTACTTTATTTTATTAAAAGTTTACTTCAATTTTGAAAAACCATTGCATTTAAAAAATTACCACCCAGGATAATATAAACTACAAAATTAGATTTTTGAAGTGACCACTGTAAATAGACTTCACTAACAGACATTTTATTAAGTGATTTGGTTGCTCACATTCGTTTGGATTGACCCTACAAGTAGTTATATACAGTAGTTTGTACACTTATATAGTTTGGACTTGGAACTTGAACTTTGGATATACACAGTCCAAACTTGACATCACTATCAGCTGAATGTTGTGCAATTCATAGGCCATGCAGACTTCTGCTGAACATCTCCATTTGTGTTCCAAATCAAACTGGTTTGGAGTGACGAGAGTGAGCAAATGATGACAAAATTCAAATTTTGGGGTGAATTACTCACTGGAGATCCTAAAGAGCATTTGAGTCAAATCTCCACAGCTGAGCCTGTTTCATATATTTTAAAGGCAAAGTGTGGAATTTTAAATGGTGGAAACTTTAGGCCCACATCTAAAGAGAAACCTCAATGAGACATTGGCAGCTGTTAACTACAGCTGGCTTCAAATGCAGATTAAGAAATTAAGGGCCACCTTTTCTCACCAAGCATTCAGATGCCACATGTTAAGAGTGTAATGATCTCTCAGCTTTTTCGTCTTTGTATGTTTTCGTATTGATACAGTAGGTCCTGTTCCAGTGCTTTGTCTCTTGGAGTCTCTCGCACGCCAGCCCTCTTTATTAGTGTTACATAACACTTGAGCAGACACTATAGGAATTTTTCTTATATGCGTCCGACTGATGAGCCATGAATGAGTCAACGGTTTCGAGGTGACTCCATATCACCCCGCTGTCTTTCTTCAAAGGAACAGCTATGTGACTAAAAATGGAGACAAACATGGTAGGATGGAAATGTTCTGTGGGCAAGGGTAATAAAAGCCAGGAAACTCTTATTTTCTACAGTCTTCTTTTTTTTGGTTCATTCACCTTCCTTCGCTTTGGAGAGGGTTTTTGGGTTCAAACAAATCAGATGGTAGCATATTGTGTGTGGTTCATGAACTAGTCTCCAGGGGAAAGGAGTTAAAGATATTATCAAGACCCAAAAAGGGAACTGGCAGTTTTTACAAGTTGACCGGGTAATGACTTACACCAAGTCTCCCAGAATCCCAGTTCTCAAACATACCAAAAAGGACACGTGAGATACTAAATTAGTGCATTTTGAGGTAAGCTTTGAGAATGAAGGATTGTTTACAGCTAATAAATGAAAGAGAGCTGATGGAAAGGGGAGAAATATCTCACTTTCGAAATCGAGGAAGAAGTTGGGCTCTTGTTCAAGATCTGTGCATGTCAAAACTTTAAGGAGGTTCCCCATGACAATGTACCTACAGGGAAAAAGAAAGACAGAGTTAAGTCACATATTCTGACCAGAAATCATAAATCTGATGGTCAGATCCAGGTGGGGCAGCACTTAACAGCCCTACTTTGATTCTATCATGGCACTAATCTCCCCTGTTATCAGTCAAGAACCCATCGCCCTTTCAACCAACAGTCGACGCTCCTTCCCTTTACCCCACAGCTTCCACTCTCCAGACGCAGTGGTTTTCCTGTGCAGGGTCTTGGGTTGACCAGATGTCACTACTGTATAACCCCCATCCTGCAGCACACACACAGAGTTACGGGAATCCCTGCGCTTTGGTGGCCACTGCCAACCGTGCATGTCATGCCTACTGCTCACGTTCAGTTCCCTATTGAGGGGCCCCAAGCTTTCAAAGTCAAGATTTAGGAAGTAGACTAGTGTTTTTAGATGTAAAAATAGTTCTCCAAAACCATTCATTCTCTTGGGATAACTGAGACTACTGGGTTTAACATTTTGCGTTTGCAAAACGTGAATAACAGTAGACATGGGTGAAGTAGAGAAGCAAGGCCAAACTATCCTTCCATACAGCAAAATCGAGGAAGGAAAAGTCACATTCCAAAGATGTTCAATAGAGGGGTCATTTCATATCATGTAATTTCTATGTTCTTTTAAAATAAAAGCTAAACGTACTATGCTCTTCCCTTCCCCAGTCCACAAAGAGCATTTATGGTAAACAGTTCTTGTGATGATGTCACAACCATGGGCTCATTTAGGGCTGCACGTTTAATCGAATGCGACTGTCATGCGCATTTTGTTAGTAAAGCCGGTTCTGTAATCAGCAGGAAATCATCATCACGTGGTTTCAGATGGAGCAAAATTTACTACACATAGTTCACTGACAAGTTACGCAAAAAAATCGCAGACGATTTTATTGCGCGATTATGAAATCGAAGAAATCATTCGCGATAATGACAGCTGTTTGCATAGCTTCTCAGTGAACTACAGCTCTGTGTACACATAGCCGTAGTTCACTAACAAGTTACGCAAAAAAAAAAAATCGCAGACGATTTTATTTCGCGATTCTGAAATCGTTCGCGATAATGACAGCTGTTTGCATAGCTTCTCAGTGAACTACGGCTCTGTGAAGTAAATGCTGCTCCATCTGAAAGCATGTGAAAATACCACATTTAATAACATATTTTTACTCCAAACTCACTTCATAACGTCAGTCGATTGTTTGAAATAAATCCTTCTGTGAGATGATGTGGCTTCTTACACAGAATAAGGCACGCAACATATTTCATAGTATTTAAGCAGTGATAAAGGCATTGCATTATAAATATACTTTATTTTAATGAAAATTATAATAATAAGAACTCAGATAAACCGTATATTGCCATAGTCGTGTGTTTATTAGTCATGTTGAATCAATGAAAGCAGTTGAATCTTCTGTTTATTCAGCTGCAGCGATAGGCATTTTCTGGGTTTCTTCTGCAAGGCGTATTTGGAGTTTCAGCGCGAGTGCGCCCTCTGGCCTTTGGATGGAGGTTTACTGCTGATCACAGAACCGTGCTTCACTGAAAGATACGCATGACAATCGCAGCTTCTGTCGAATCGCGATCTCGATTCCATTTCGATTTATCGTGCAGCCCTAGGCTCATTTACATAGGATCACCTACCTATTTACTATTTAGCAGCTTGGACTACTCTAATGAATAATAGTGTGACACTGCCTCAGTCTGTTATTCACGATTGAAAAAGAAAATGAAAAGACATAACAACAGCGAATAACTTGAGACAATTACAACAATAAACGCCTGGGTTGACGAGCGCTTGTGTAAAAAATAAGTATAAAACTTTCTAGTGCATTGTTGAGCACCTGTGTTCCCCACGCTATCAAATGGAGTGTACTATGAAAGACTATGTGTTTGTGTTCAGATGAACGCCTGTGCTAAGTAAACTCAAAACTAAAGTATACTTTGGGCTTTAGGATGACGTCCCAAAGAGTGTAAACAAGAGTTGAGCAGTCCAACACAGTAACTTGACTCAAGTGACTCAATCAATGGTGTGAGTTTCAGGATGAACCGTTTGCAACAATGGAAAATGGGGGACCTGCTTAAAAGCGTCACTATATTTGCAACTATACCTGGTGATGCATGTTATGCTATGACTGACATGGAAAGTTGACTGCTAATGCTACAGACCTGTACAATATTGCTCCAATACATTTTAAGTTTAATATATATATATATATATAAAAAATACTTTTTTAGCCTATCTGTGAGAAAATCAACTATAAAAGCAAGATTCTGAAAAAACACACGGAAGGAAAAATAAAAACACATCCTTCCTCCAAAACATACCAGGCTCCTCCAGCCACTTGACATCAAACCCGATAAACACTGTTAGCTGATGGGAAAATGCCTCCACCACAACTCTCAATGGCATTACTCTGTATAAAGGCTGTTTTTGCCAAGACCTCCATTGGTCTGAAGGAAAGTTTTTGCTATGAGTGTCAGGAGAGGAGTTGTACACATTTACCAAATGCACAGTTCAGCTGCAGATAACCTATAAAAATTACAACTAAACAGAAGAAAAATAATGGTCAATTTATTATTGGACTGTTTTAATATCAGTACATTAAAGCCAATAACCCTAAACGGTAACACAGATGTACACAATGCCTTGACTGACTGGTCTATAATTCTTTCACAGCCTGTTGTAAAGGTATATAAAAAAGAATGAATAACACAAAAAGATTGAGTTGTGTTTATTTTCACCTAGTACAAAAGATAAAAGAGGAGAGGAAAGCAAACAAGAGGGAAAGGGTCAATCTAGGCCATAACAACAGAAGCAAAATACCCATGATTCCTGTGCCTCTGGCGGGAAGAGAGATGAGTATAAGAACACACACATAAGCATACAGGCGGCTAGATGTAGGTCACAGACATTAGTGTGTATGTGTGTGAATGGGTGTTATATAATCTAGCTGACGATCCAACTGCAGATCTAGACAGAATGAGACAAACAGTCACTCCTAAATGCCTGCCATTACAATGATTGTTACAGTCACCGAAATGTGCAGGTGCACATGAATGTAAAAATCCTTACATTCATGATTTGTTTTTGAGCAAACAAGTGATATTGGCAGTTGGTTTACGTTACTGGTTAGTATGTGGGGAGTCATATACAGTACAATTTCTTAATCAACATCCAAGATTTTAGGTTAACTGTATAAGGGAAAACTCACAATTTCATTTTTAAAAATGTATTTCATTTAATAAAACAAACAAACAAAAAAACTATTAGGCTGAGATGTTAATCAACCAATCAATCAATACGGTGAAGTGCAATACAATGACCAAAGACATGATGAAAGATTTTACAAATGACCAACAATTATATATATAAAAAAAAAATGCATATTCTTGTAATGTAATCAGTTCTAAAGCTTTTTGACTATTCCATGCTTTTGTTGTAATGTCTTTGAGTTACCTTTCTTTTATTTAATTTATTAACTATTATTATATTAATAAATAAATAATTCTAATTATTATTAATATGTAATTAATATTGATAATAATTTGATTAATTAAATGGCATGTCATGTAATTAATTTAATTATTAAATATGATTAAGTTTCAATTGATTTACAGCCCTAATAATAATTACAGGAAAAATATTTTACATTATTTGTAGACAGTTTAACACGGCACACCACATGACACTGCTGAAACGGCTTGAAATTTCCTGTCAAGTATTTGTGTATGTCTGAACTGGGAACATGGAAGAGAGCTGGATAGGGTGTATGCAGAGTGACAGGAGACAGGCTGCTGACAGGTGGAAAGTTGAGACATGAACAGGTAGACAGCTGAACAGGACGACCGAGACAGAGAGTGTCTGGAAGCTGAGGCAAAGAGGCAATGGGCGTGAGAGATTTGTCGAGGAGTGACACTGGTGAGGTTGAAGTCAGGTGAGCGTCTGAGCTGGGACCATCTGTGTGCATGAGGGTCTCAAACAGGTACAGGGATCGTACGTGAAAGTTGCTGATGGTAAACCAGTGATCAAAAGCACTCTAACCCATGCTGACAGAAGCAAGACTCGCTCGAGCCAGAGTACTCTAACTGATTCAGACATTCACACTTTACAAAAGAGACATGGACACATGTTGAGGGGCAGCGACAGGTTAAAGCCACGCTAAGGATCATGTGGAGGTCAAGGCTCAGCAAAGCTCAGGATTAGAGTTCAAGGTCAGAGGCGTGAGTCGATTACCAATCTCACGAAACAACTGCTGAAGTAGTGCAAAATAACAATTTCTTGCTTTGGCTTGCTTGCAAAACTGGCATTTGGTGTAAGTTTTTAGGTATACAAGAGGGAGTTATTAACTTTATGGACATTCAAAAACAATAAAACTACAGAAAAAACCCAGAGAAATCTGAAGAGCCATGAAATCCAAATTCACCTTATAATAGTTTTAATGTAACATATAATCAATACACTGTGTAATATACCTAAATTTAGCTTCTAAAAAACACTGATATGGCCACACTGTAGCTTTAAAAGTTTTTAATACACTTTTTAAAAAGTTTGTTTAATATAAATGCTATATAAATGAAACTGAATATTTCATAATATTACTGTTTTTACTGTATTTTTAGATCTAATAAATGCAGCCTTAGTATGCACAGTATAATGCACAGCTTAGTATAAAACATTAAAATCTTACTGACATTAAACATTTGAACCTAGCAACGACCCATAATACCCTACCACCCATAGCAATGAATGAGTGAAAAACACTCAGAACACCTTAGCAACCACAAAGCAACATACTGACAACGTTCCACAATAAAACAGCATTATGGTGACAAGTTTTGCATGGGTAACATTTACTACTGATATTTACTACTACTATTTGGGGGAAAGTTACTTAGAGTTACTTGGAATAAATGTGACCTGAATCCAAGCCATGCCAATGTACTGCTGCCAAGGACGCCAACCCTATATCACACCCAGTGCTCCCTC